CGCAAAACATATCAAAATGTAAAATGCAGACATTGAGTCTGATATCTTTAAATTACTGTTGAAGGATTCATTACCTGCGAGGATGTTCTCTGGGTCAAGCTCCACGTTCACTTGATTTTTCTCTACTATGTGTCCCATGATCCACTTGGAGCGACCGTACTGCTGAGTGGCGAGCAGCCAACGCAGTGACTCAGGGAAGATCCTGTCAAAAAGATGGGGGATGTCCTTGTTAATATGACATGAAAAATGAGTCAGGGGGGAAAAGGAAAAAAAAAAAAGAGTTCTCCTTTTATTAGGTTGTATGTAATCTAACTTTGTTAGGGCTCGCAGTGCTAAATCTTGTTTTTGTCTGTCATTGCACCATTTCAACACAGTTTGGATATGAGGCAGAGAAGAAAAGTGCAATGTTAAGCTAAAGCTATACACCAGATCCCAAACAGCCGATGGGTCGGCTGCGGTGTGACACACACAACACAATTTACAGTGGTACTGTCTCACAGCCAATGTCACCCCCTGTGCCGCTCTATTATTTGTGTCTATCATTTTCCATAATGTTGCATAAACTTCTCAAAGAGGTTAGGTATCAGCTTGCAGAAAGAGTACGTGTGTATATGAAGACAGTCAATAACATAACGACTGGTGCTGCATTTGGATGAACCTCTGTCTACAAAGTAGATGTGCAGGTTTCATCATTTTCCACATGTGTGGTTTGCAACTATCCCTCCGCCCACCCTCACCTAACCTAATTAGATCACCTGCAGCGTTTAAATTTTCAACCTAATCAGCTGTATTCCAGATGTTTGCAGAGTCAGCCACAGTTAATCAGGAAAGTTAACACAGCTTTGGAAATGACCTCAAAGGCTCTTGCCAACTTTTGTGTGCTAAAAAATGTGTGCTGTGTGACAGAGTCATCACACTTTGATGACACAGTATCACATGACAGATTGTTAGATTGCTGGATTGATAATAAATGAGAGCACCTCTCAGGCTGAGTTCACTGTGCAATGTCCAAACTTGTGGTACCAACAGAAGTTCCACAAGTTTCACAACCTGCTTCATGTCCTTGAATTGTGTAGTCTTTAGCAAACAAGGCCATGATTGCGTCACAGCATACAACTGTTGCAAATCCCATTCAACAGCTGAGCCATCAAACTGCTGAGTGATAATGAACGCTGTATTTTTTTTATGATCGGAACAATGGAACTGAGGACATATCAACATTTCCTTATTTACCAAATCACAATGACTAACCTGACATGTGCCCGAGGTGTATTTCCATCCCTTCTCCACACTGTGTCTTATGCTAATGAAAGTGTATTGCATGACAAAGACTGATGTTTGACAAGTTGTTTGCTTTGGATTACTTCTGACTGTTACTGAACAGAACCCCCCTTTGTTTTGCAGGGACATCAAAGATACCAAGGCCTTTGAAACTCTGGCAAAATCTATATTCCTGCCATCTTTGTAGACATCAGCACTATTACAGAACTGTGTTCAGTGAGGTATAATAAATGGTGTATTTATTGCTTATGCTTTGGAAAAAGTCAGAGCAGAGGTTTAAGTGTAAAAGATACCTCAGCTTGGACTTTAGTACTATTTTTAAGCTTGTAAAAAATAATAATAATAAGAAAAACCTCTGCAAGTGTATCTTTTGTTAAACAGTGCTTAATTTACTCAATGGGAAATCAATGAATCAAGTCACACCTGATTGCCATGGATGCACCTATGTGTCTTTTTTAAACTGTTGTGTAACTGAAAAAAATATTTTAAGTTTAACAGAATATCAAAATCAAGATAAGATAACCCGGTACCAAAGTGCAGCGAATGCTAAGGTCTTTTCCTTACCAAATGTAGGACAGCATAAGCAGCAGGGGACAGATGATGACAGCTTGAAGTACCTGCCAGTTGCGACAGAGGTACGCCACTCCAGGCATCAAGAGCCGACCACCCAAAACCACAAAGCTGGCCACCATGGTCATGGAAAATCGCCATCCTGGCAGGCACAGCTCGATCCCTGGCAAAGAGAACAACGAAAAGGGGGGAAAAAGTACAATGTGTTTTTTTCTAGTCGAGACATATTTAGAAAAATGATATAAAACGAGTGGAAATACCAGAATTTCAAAATTTCTTGGGAAGATGACACATGGGACTGACACTAGTTTTTGTATGTCCAAACTAGCTATAATCTTTGGAAATTTTGGAGCACAAAATAAAATGAAGTTGCTTCAAATAAAAGGGTTCCCATAAATTAGTTGTTCTGAGATGTTGGTACCCATTCATATGCAGTTGAATTACCTGGCAAATGTAACATTATAATGATGATATTTACCTTTTTGCAATGAAGAAAAATATTTTCAATCACTTTAGAGAAAAACTGAGAACAACATAATGCGCTCATTGACTTTTGGGGGAATGAAATGTGCAATCTAGAGCAAAGTTGATGAGTAAACGGAAAAAAACCCCCAGAGCAACAACTCTGACTAGGCGAGGCAGGCAGGTCAGAACAGGAATCCTGGCACTGTCATCAGCAAATGAGGTTTGTTGTTTCAATGCAACACATCCTAAAATCCAGAAATTACTGCTGTTGCGGCATGGCTTTTTACACAGAGTAAAACTAAGTTGACACCAAAAACACTCACACACCAGAGAAAATTGTTATCTTTTTAATAAGTCTGGAATATTCCTTGTTTCTCACAACAGGAGGATGGAAGCTACGCTATTGTGCTAATCTTAGTTTTTGAGATTTAATTAATGAAACGCTTAAGTCATCAGTCAGAAAATTATATGACTCCAGTACTTTTTTTTTTATTCTGACACAGTACAGAGATGAAGACAGTAGGCTGCTGAACAAACTAGAAAGGGGTTCCTTGTGCTCCTTTCCCCTCGATCAGAATGGCACTGATTCATTCACTCGGTCATTAGCATGCACACCCCACTGGCAGCCAGCAACCACAGACAGTTCAGCCCTTTAGTTACTGCAGTACAGAGGAGAAGTTCACACCACACCATAGAAAGCCAATGCTGCTGTAATGCCGCTGCTCTTATACAACCAGAATCTTTTGTCTTGCTTCATTGGTCCCTTTTGTTATACATCACTTTTCTTCTACCCGGGAATTTTAACCGTCTCCAGTGGGCCTTTCAAGGTGACAGGCCCAGCATAATACAGTGGATGTCGGCTGCTTCACTTCATTCCAGTGGAAAAGACTGGAATTTCAATTAGGATGTGCCCCCCTCTGAGGACATGAATAATGCTCTCTGTTCACAGACACTATCGCAGCTGGTATGACAAAGCCAATGAGTGGAGAGCAGGGCGATGGGTGCAAGACCCGCTGAGTTTGAACCAACTAACCTCAAGACTCCTTCGCTGTGTGCCTGTGGGAGAATAGCACCGGCTCACTGGTTAAGGACCGCATGGGATTTGAATTCTTTGGTTTTGTATTTATGTACGCAAGGCATCATGTGCACTGAGACTCATGCACTCTGACCAGAAAAGTACATCCCGTGGTGAGGTGTGGAAAAGCATTAGGCAGAGCGGCACAAACTTCATTAAGATATCAATTATGACAATAAGGATATTTAATTAAACTAAATGCAGAATAAGAAGCAGAAGCTGTGGAAAAGAGCCCTGAGCTTCTTACTCATGTTGACCCTAATCCTCCACAACCTGCTAGATCAGCATTCCCATAATGCTCTGCGGCAGAGTCTGTCCTACTGACATAAATCTACCAATTACAAATCTAATGTTACATATAAGAAATTGACTAAACTTGGAAACCAAAGGCCTCCCGAGGGTGGCGGAAAAGTGACACAAAAGATAATAGGAAAAAAAAAACATTTAAATGTATTTGTACCACTCCCATTAGTAAAAATAGAAATTACATCATCAATGATTAGGCTAAAAATCCAATTAATGACAATGATAATCCCCAAAGAAGATTTAGCTGGTTTGCTGACTTTGGCAATGTGAGAATGTGAATCACACTCAAGCACAAAGTGCAGCAGCTCACCAGTAGCTCATGAGTCCCTCTTTGTAACAGGGATTTAAATGCGTCTTCTGAGATCTGGTCACAACTCAGACTGCAGAATGAGCGAGAACGCAACCAAGATACATTGAGGATACATTAAGATGTGACCACTCAGAACACCTCAGAGTGGTCCAGGCCACGCGTGCATGTTTCCTGTGCCACATTACAGTACAATACTACACTGATATGTGTGTGTGTGCCACTGCTGAAAAACAATAGAATTGGCAGTCTTGCACCACGTCGAATACCCTCAGCTGTTATTTCACAACTGCCTTGCATAAAGCTGCTAGCTAATTGCATAAATAAAAGTAAAACCCTTTAAGACGATTGACTGTGTAGCCTATGTGTTTAATCATCAGCTCATCGAAGTTATTAATGGGGTGAAGCAGATCCAGCATTTGTCTTTTAGCCCTCTTGCAGGCATCACAAGGCACAAGGCTGCCGTTGATCAATTACGCCCTTCTTCTCATCACGTTTCCCACACTTTGCTCTGAATACCTACGCTTCAGCATCAATATATTTTGATTTTGAATCACCAAGGAGTTCTCGGATTCACTCAGCAATTAAAACACATCTCGCGTCTGCTCATTAAATATCATTTCCCCCGCCCCGACTGAAAAAACAATGAATCAATTACAGCGCTCCTGGTGGGTTAAAAAGGGAAGGAAAAAAAACGTCATATTCTTGTAAAGCAAGCTATAGTCACATCCAGCAGTGAAAGAAAATAATCACAGTGAAATCAGGAATGGGATCAACACAGCTGTACCTCTGTCACACAGCTGAAATCTGCATATTTCTTTGCTAATTGTTTTAAAAGAAGGCACCAAAAAAAGTTGTCGCCACAGCTTCCGCATCAAGTGAAAAGGAAATAGGCAGGGTGTGCATATCCCTTTGCTACTAATTCCTTACTAAACACAAATAACATCCCACACAGAAATGAGTTAAAATAAACAGGCTGTGTCAGTGCCTCCAGCAGTTCCAATCAATCCTGGACCGTAACGTTTGTAGCTTCCAGATTCTAACCAATATCCTGAAGAATCTCTTAACATTTTAGTTAAACAGTATTTCCAAATGGAATTCCTTCAGTGTGTGTTGTGATAATGGTTGGAGCACAGTCTCTGGAGATTGTGGTATGCTTAAAGTGGTTTACAGAGTGCATTGTCTGATTACATTGTAAGGCAAAAAAAGGTTACAGATAGTCTGAGTGACCACATTAAAAAGTAAGGTAAGAAGCCTACAATAAACATTTGATACTTTGCCTTTTACAGCATTTATGGTGTTGCCAAAGTTAAAAAAAAAAATTAAAATTAAAAAGTACAGCATGGTTAGGCCTGGTATGCACTCAGATGTGAGAACAACTGGAGATACCAGGTGTTGTATTTAGGGCTGACTGTGGCTCAGGCGGCCGACTGGATTGTCGACCTATCAAAAGGTTGGGGTGGCCAGATTCCCCGGCTACAACATTTCATGCAAGCATGTGATTCACATTATTTTAAATTTTTAAGAAATTCAGATGTATCAAGTCAGGGAACCACTGGTGCACTGAATGGAAGTATATATATCAGCCCCAGGTGGGGCTGATCCAAACCTTACTGGACAGGTATGCCATTCACTGCATGATCAATACACCATTAAAGTTCAAAGGATGGACGGTCACAGATGGAAATGCCTAGTGAGGCTAAACTCAAATCAGGCATGTTTAAAGTTTCTGATGAACGTCTGAAGCATTTCTTCTGAGTGGCAGACCAGTGAAGCATTGTCAGCAAACAGCATTTCCCTGATTAGGGTCAGGGTGAACTTTGGTCTTTGGCTGGCATTACTATAGATCAAATAAGGTGTTTTTCCCCCAATAGGGGTAAACTCTATCCTTTGTGGAGGACATGTAGAAGAAATAAAATATTACTGGCATAGATGTACAAGCTGTTTGCCGTGCAGTTAGCCATGAAAGTCTGTGAGAAAAAAGGAACGTCGCTCTTAAGATATCCTTCATATTTTAGTACAACATAATCACCTAAGAAGACATGGCAGAAAGCCAGTTCTCTAACAGAGCATGAAAACATTTATCCTGACAAGGTTAAAGGCCTCAGGTCAATTAAAGGGCAAAGTAAAACTATCTTCTCTCTCTCTCTCTTCTGTTGCCTTTCTTTAGAATTAGTGCAGTTAGACAATTGTACTAATTGTACTACCGGAATTCTGGGTATAAATGAACAAGAGCAAACTGATAAGTCATTCTGGTAAATAACCTTGATACTTTATTTTTTCTGCCCGCTGTGTATTTTTATACACACAAAAATGTTGATGTCTCCTCTCTCCCTTTTTTTCAAGCTCCAAATAGGGGCTATTGACTAAGAATAAGGTCATGCTTATTGATTAGTCTCAGGAGCCGAGCAGAATGTCAAACAATTCCAGCTATCCACAAGCCCTTTGCTTTGATTCATGTGCTCAAATTCTCAGTAATCAGGACAGTAAATCCCCACCTGGAGAGTATATTAGTGTGTTAGTGTGCTGTGTTGGCACACAGCATATTCCAAAACCACTGCATTAAAGAAAGATCAACACAAAACAGCCTACTGGCTGTTCAGAAGACACTGTTTGTGAACTGAGTGACTGAGCTTACATTTGTCACAGTCGTAGATTTGCTTAACTAAACACAACTTCAGCCTAACCAAAGAAGAACTGAAACTGCATTGATTTTTTTTTTTTCTTCCACTCATCAAAAGAAAGTGCAAAGGTTGCCAGTAAAGATTTTACCAGTTACTGGACTTCACTCAGGAATTTGTGGTTTGAGATAGTTTAAGGTTATGTCATGCAACAAAGGTTTAAAATTATTTCCACTCCGGGCCAATTAGAACATGACCCTTAAGTCAGTACTACTGCTTTAAAAATTAAAAATAAATGCAGCCTAACGTTTTAGCAAAGTGCATTTGCTGAGCCACCAAAAATGTAATCTTAGCACAAAAGGGAACTTTAACCCTGCTCAGAGTTTAAC